GTGAGTGAGTGAGTGAGTGAGTGAGTGTGTGAGTGAGTGTATGCGTGTGTGTATGAGTGTGTGTGTTTCAGATGAATGATTGTGTTTTTTCTCTGGCCTAAAACTATTTGACACACACAAATCACCAACACACTGATAATATAGACCGTAATCATTCATTCATTTATAGGGATTAAATCAGATCATTTCAGCATGTAGGTGATTCACACTCGCGTTTGTGTCCGTTATTTGCACGACACTCTTATTTAGTTTGTATTCATTCGTGTGATCATCAGTCCTTTATGCTTCAGTTCAATTCTAAATCTTTCGATCCGTTTCATAAATTCATATTTGTCAGTATCCCGTGTGAATTTGGTGTGTTTAAAGACTTTGTTGGGAACGTCAGTGTTTGCTTGTGTTTTAGTTCCTCATTGAGATCGTTTTTCCAGAGTTTTCTCACCTGCTCCCTCCGCTCATTCTCGGCTTGTACTGTCCGCTGTCAGGCGCCGGTTTTCGGTCGCTCATGACGAGACGATCCGCCGATTTATCACATTTCGTCAAATCTAGAAATCAAGGATGACTTTTAGAAATCGCAGTTAGCTGAAGTGAACTCACCAGCAGAACGGAGCTCCGCGGACGCGTCCACTCAGGAGGGCGGGTCAACTGAGGCACAGTGCTTCAGATTAGTGTGTCAAACAGACACGCTTAAACTATATATTGAACAACAGACTCCTTTTGTACACGAATTCATAAGCCATTTTAAGAATTAAACATTAATTCGTATAATTACTCGTGCGGATATTATGAAGTGAAGTGCACACCCCCGTGCAGTATTGAATGGTTCCGGCTCACCACTCCTTTTATGGGCATGTTATTGCACGAGCGCGCACGCCAGCAGGCACGTCATCACGGAAGCGCAGTGATACTGATTAAAGTAAATAATAATACAGTGTTAACTTATATATGTAAAAATACAGACACTGATAGTAAACGCTTACAGATACATGCTTTAAATTAAATAAGTGAAGGTTAAATCGCTAAATGAAACAGGGTTTTTAACTTAATTTGATTGAGTGTCATTTTCAATTGTACTTTTCAGCTGCTATAAAACAATTTGTGTTTTTAGCTCAGTGCACCAGAAGGACTGCCTCTTTTGCAAAGTTTGTGCTTGCTTTTTAATAATCATTTGAAATTGGCAAACTGGTAGCTCCAGTAGTAAGAAGGATTTATCTTGAACTCTGTCATGGAAATTATGTATAAACCCAAATTAAACACTTTAATAATTGCAATTTACAATGAATTTATCCCTGTATTGTATCAGCTGCAGGCGCCATCTTCTGGCGAGACGCAGCGATTCATTCGCCGCATGACTCTCACAGTGCATTATGGGTATTCTCTAGCCGTTGAGCATACATCAGTTATACGCTCGTTATTGCTGAGCATTGTGGGATTGAATGAGTGCACTCGTAAATGTCCACTAAATAAGGTTCCGGACACCACTAAAAATGGCTGTCCCCAAAAGTAGTGCCTTATTTAAGGGTATAGAGGCCAATTTCAGACACAGGGTAAAACTACAGCTGTAGTGCAATTATAAGTCTACTTACTAAATCATTCACTCAACCGATTCCTTCAACAAGGAATGAAACACTACTGTGTTGCTCGGAGTCGCAGTGGTTTATCCTGCTTTGGTGGAACTATTTCATTGACGTGGCAGGTGTCTCAGGTGTGGCAGGTGTGGCAGGTGTCTCAGGTGTGGCAGGTGTGGCAGGTGTCTCAGGTGTGGCAGGTGTCTCAGGTGTCTCAGGTGTCTCAGGTGTGGCAGGTGTCTCAGGTGTGGCAGGTGTCTCAGGTGTGGCAGGTGTCTCAGGTGTGGCAGGTGTCTCAGGTGTGGCAGGTGTCTCAGGTGTGGCAGGTGTCTCAGGTGTGGCAGGTGTCTCAGGTGTGGCAGGTGTCTCAGGTGTGGCAGGTGTCTCAGGTGTGGCAGGTGTCTCAGGTGTGGCAGGTGTGGCAGGTGTCTCAGGTGTGGCAGGTGTGGCAGGTGTCTCAGGTGTGGCAGGTGTGGCAGGTGTCTCAGGTGTGGCAGGTGTGGCAGGTGTCTCAGGTGTG